GATGACCCGCTTAGTGGTACTACGCTCCTCCCCGCAGTATCCCGCAGCCAGACCCCCGACTCCCGACTGATCTGTACATCAGTACGGTCGCGGCCGCCGCCCCAGAAAAAACAAAAATAAAAATAAAACTAGAGAAATAAACGGGTCCGCGTTCGGACTCCCCTTAGCAAAACCAAGGGGGATAGTCCCACGGGACCCTTAACCCCTCAGCTCCTTTACTGCTCCTTCGTTGCCGCCTGCTGACCTCGATCCCCGTATCTCCACTGCGAAAGTCTCGTAGCGTAACCTATAGGGCTAAGCCCATACCTAGGATTAATGTGTGCGGTCTCCTATATAGATGGGTGCTGCTCAGCTCCTAGGCCTAGGAATCAGTCCCAACCTTTATTCGTTCTTCTAACTAAGCATGGTGTCACTAGGCCTCTGCACCGGCTTGCCCCCTCGTGTATGTCGGCCTACTTGTGGTCAGCCGTCCTGGATATAAACACAACTTCTATTCCTAAAAGAAATTGATGCCGGCCAACTAAGCCGACAACCTAATCAAGCGGAGGAATCACACAAGCGCCTTAAGACGGTGCGCCCACTCACGCTCTACTCTAGTAAACCTTCCCACCTATGTAACCAAGCAGACCTAGGCACGTCTCGCGCCGTACACTTAGATTTTAAGCTTACTTCCTGTCACTCGCAAAAACTAGGGCGGATACCCTTGTCAGGGTATTCGCACCGACAGCAGCGAGAGCCCTACCCCAAGATTGATGTTCCGTTGTTCGATGGAAATCATGCCTCTTCTTGGGCTGATAAGTTCGAACAGCTAGGATATAGCAACGAATGGACGGATGAGAAGATGCTTCATATGGTCAAAAGGTACTGCAAGGYGGAGTACCGAGACGAGATCGGTGAGCTGGTCCAAATCACCCGTGATTGGTCAGACTTCAAGGCGCGGCTGTTGGAGAAATATCAGCTCAGCGACCGGCTGCTCGACCTGCAGGATTTTAGGGTTGTGGATCGTAAAAMGTTTGGTACTACCAAACAATTCTTATCGGAGTTTGAGCATGTGGCTCGCCTAATCCCGGATCTATCCGACAAAGATCGCTGCCTCATCTTCCTTGACAACTTCAACGACGYCGAACAGTCGAAGTTGGTTGAAGGAATGCAAGGGAGGTATGACAAGACTAAGGTCCGGCAAAATGCGTTGGTGGGAACGTTCGACGATATCCTTTACCCGTTGTTGAGGCAGCAAAAGGAGGAGCGGGAGAAAATGAAGCTGGGAGAGGTGAAGGACGGTGAGATTTACAAAACTTTGACCTGCATGAGAGAAATGATGGAGGGCATGAAAGAGGAGAGGCTGAAGTTTCAAGTTATGCTGGCCAAAGAGAAAAAGAGKWAGAGGAAGGGGAAAGAGCCGGCAGAAGAAGAAAGCGACAGTGAGAGYGAGGAGGAAAAGGAGTCGCCTCGTAAGTTGACAAAGGCAGAGAGGAAGGTCTTGAATCAAATTCGAGGTGGACAGGGGACCTCCCATAAATAGGGGAAGAATGGTGGATAAAATAATAAAGGAGGGAATGGCAGCGCTGGCGGTGGTTCGTCAGGACAAAGTTCCCAGGATCAGGGGCAGTTCCAGCCGCAGGGTGGACGAGGCCGCGGTCGAGGTCGTGGGAACGGACAGCGAAACGTTGGGCGTGGCAGCAGGAGGCCATGTGTAACTATTGTGCAGAAAATGGTCATATTATGTGGTTTTGTCAACTTCCTTCAAAAGACAAGAAGGAAGGAATAGTCTTCACCACGATACGCGGTGAAGTCTTTGATTATGAAGGGAATCTGATTGACCCCAACATTGAAGGGGGTATGAGGAAGGAGGCGTTTCGCCGAATGGGTCATCCCCTTCCGGCGTCCTTCCGGATTGCCTCCCCGGAAGAAGTACGGTTGACCGAGGTCGAGGAGGCCATGGCGTTATTACATATCAATGACTCATCGGTGGAGCCGGAAGGATTTAGGGAGCAAGTGGTAGAATGAGCGAAAACTATCACGAGGAGGCTTGCCCGATGTCGGGACTCTATCATCCGACTTTGCGTGGACATGGAGGAAGTCTGGCCTGGATTGCCAAATGTCTTTCTTTTTGGCGAATGGGGTGATAAAAGGGAAGATGTGTCTGGCCAAGCAGGGACGTCTACTCCGAGAGAAGAATCACAAACTAGGCCGATGGTAAGCACAATGCAACCCAGGTGTGTGCTAACGAGAAGTCCTCCGACTGTAGCCGTTCAGACTCGGATGCGGTGGCGAAGCGAGCAGCTTCAGAAGGAAAAAGGGTGTGAAAAGGCAGTGGAAGAAGAGCCTATCCCCGTTACTGAGAACGAAGAGGATAACGAGGATGAGAAGTCGCGGTCCGAAGAGGAAGAACGGGCTCGTCGTCGTGCGCTGGAAAGGGAACCTAAGAAAGGGAAAGCCGAGGTAATCGAGGAGGAGCCACGAAAGAAGAAGAACATTTACTCGATCCCCATGGAGCAAGGGATCGATATTGAGCGACTCGTCAATAAAATCTTGGAGAGTCAGCGTGACTTGGTCACGCTGAAGGAAATTTTGGCAGTGTCGCCAAAGATTCGAGAAGAATTTAAACAACGAATGACTCGCAAGAGGGTCATGACTGTTAAGCTCGGCGAAGTCATTCCGTCGGAGGCTAACTGGTCTCCACCTGGGACAAAGATGGATTGGCGAAGTGTGTCGACCGACCATATGAAGGTCCAGATTGGACAGTAGGAGTATTCGACACTTGTGGATGATGGAGCCAAGATGAACATCATTCCCACAGCGCCATGCCATTGAAGTGGGGTTAAAGATCAACCGAGAAGATTATGGATTTTTTGTGCGAGCTAGTGGATCGACTCCATTCTGCAAAACCGCCAGTGGCGTTCTTGTCACGGTCGGAAAAGTCCAGGTATGTTCTTATTTTTACGTGTTACCTAGAGTGAAACACGAGGTACTTCTGGGAAGGGCATTCCTATGTCGGTCGTAAAGCATCATCATTAACAAGCATGATGGAAGAATGTGTGTGATCCTTTGCGATCCTGTCTGCGGCTACAACGAGGTGGTCTAGTGTGCGAACACTGGACCCCATTGCTCGCGGAACCAGCTGAATCCGAAATCGTATACCTTCCCGGAGTCAGAAAAATTGAGAAGGGAGAAAGAATCGTTAGGGGAGGAGCCGAACCCTCGTGAGTTCTCACTGACCCTGCCTGATATTGGGCAGGCAATCGATTTTGTGTCGACACATGCTGCGATCGATCCAAATGTAGTGCAAGCACTAACGGAGATCATCACGGACACCGGAAGCGTAGGAACTATGCGCCTTGTTTACTCCCCGTCGGAGGGAAATGGGGGAGAAGATCAAGAATTGCCCTCCACTCGACAAGATCCTTTTTTAGAGGACGCAGGCTTGACACCGGCGCCAAACGTAAGTACAAGAAAGTAGGCGTGAAAGCAAAGTCGATGCCTGTTCTGATCACTCGGGAGGAGGAAGTCTACTATCGTGAGGAGCGTGAGTGGATCAGAGAAGTGGAGGACAGAGATGAAAAATGGTCATGTCGATTAACCAAAGAAAGAGTGGACAGTATGATCATTGGGGAGGAGGACCTCCTTACTGAGCAGGAAAAGGGGTCATCGATATATTAAGGGAGGAATATCTCGCCTATGCATTTGATGATGATTAGCGAGGAAGGCTGAATGTTGATAAAATCCCTATGATCAGAACCCATATTGTACGACATGAGCCATGGAATGTAAGAGGACCACGTTATCCGAATCCGGAAGATCATCGTAAAGTAGTCGCGTATCTTGATGGGAAGATCCGGACAAAGGTTGCAGATTATTCTTACGGGCCGTATGCATCTCCATGGTTCTGTTTCATCAAACCGAATGGTACTCTGCGATGGATTCATGACCTCCAGAAGTTGAATTTAGTGACAGTGCGGGATGCAGCTGGACTTCCACATGCAAACCTACTGTCAAAGTCCTGCCCAGGGAGGTCTATCATCACTCTGATCGATTTATACTCCGGGTATGATCAATTTCCCATTTACATTGCGGATCCGCCCAAGATGGCAATGCACACTCCTCGCGGGCTGATCCATATGTGTGTGGCGCCGCAGGGGTGGACGAATGTCGTCGCCATTGTTCAAAGATATATGACGAGGGTTATRTAGCCTTATTGYCCTGGCATAACTTCGCCGTATATTGACGACTTGGYTATTCCAGGGCCTCGAACGAAAGACCTGGCRGAGRTGTTGTCGGGCATTCGCCGCTTTGTCTGGGAGCACATCAATGATGTGGTGAAAGTCCTTAAGAGGTTGAAGGAGTTTARTCTCACAGTTAGTGGGATTAAGTCTCGACATTKTATGAGGAGAGAGCAGTGATCTTGGGATTCCTTTGCGATGAGACAGGTCGTCGACCGGATGCGAAAAAGACTAATAAAATCTTGGAATGACCGACCCCTTTCAAGTCGATCACAAATGTGTGAATTTTCCTTGGAACCTGTGAATTTTGGTGTATCTTTATCCGCAAGTTTGATGCCAGGTTGGAGCACTTGCGAAAGCTTCTGCGCAAAGGCCAAGAATGGGAATGGGGTCCGAAGCAGCAAGCGGTCGTGGAGGACATAAAGATAGAGTTTCGTGAGGGCGGATTGATTCTTGGAGTTCCTTTCTTCGACGATGACACGAACCGTCCTTTTGTTATTGAGACTGATGCGGGTCCCCCAAGCCTAGGAGGGGTCTTGATTCAAAAGAATGCTGAGGGACAGGAAAGACCTCTCAGATTTGAGAGTAGGACCCTAAATGTTGCTGAGAGGAACTATTCTTAGTTCAAGAAGGAAACTTTGGTCGTGCTTCATTGTTTCCGAATCTTTCGGAATTATGTGTTCGATAGACGCTTCATCCTGCGGGTGGACCCGACTGATTTCGCTCAATCTTTAAGGAATTACTCACCTTTTGATCCCATTATTGCACGATGGATGATTATATCTGGATGCTTCACTTTAAAATTGAGCAGATTTCAGGGAATCAAAATCGCGCAGATGGGTTGAGTCGGGTTGAGCTGGGCTTGAGAGATGAGCCCCATCGCTTGATGAGTGCCAACCAAAAATCGGACATGAACCGAGTGTCGCGGTCGCAGACGATCTCCTTGGGGTAACCCTTGGTGCGAATCCAACCGGCGTACAGAACCTCGGCCAACTCCGGTGCCTTGGCATGATAGCGACAAGGCAAAAACATGGCGAACTTGGTGAGTCGGTCGACCACTGTGAGAATCCCATCCACTCCGGTCGTGTGCTTGGGGAACAGGCCGGTGATGTCCATGGCAATCGCTTCCCTTCACCTCAACGGGACTGGCAATACGGACGATGGTTGCGGGATTTGCAGCGTCGACAAACCTCGCATGACTCGCAATAGTGTGAGACGTCGCCGAGAAGGCCGGGCCACCAAAATCGCTGGCAAAGTCGGCCAATCATGTGATTGACTCCACAATGTCCGGTGGCGGGAGCGTCGTGGAACTCGCCAAGAAGCCGTGTATGCAAGTGAGGATCACTTGGTACGCAAAGAAGGTCCTTCCCCCGCGTGTGGACAAGCAAGTACCCCTCCTGGATCCGGTAGTGAGAAGGAGCCGGATTAGGCGAGGAGCAATTAGCGTACTTGTCGCGAAACTCGGGGTCGGCTTGGTAACTGCGGATGAAGCTGTTCCGCAGGTCATCGTCAATCTCGAAAGTCGAGTAGACCGCGGTACAGTGATCCGGACGCCGTGAAAGAGCATCCGCAAAACGGTTCGACTTCTCGGGAATGTGATCGGGAAAGAAGTCAAACTGGTCGATGAAAGCCATCCATCGAGCGATGGTGCTGTTGACGGTGTCTTGGGTCTTGTAGAAGACCAACGGATTATTGTCCGTTACCCAGCGAAATTGGCTTCGACCAAGGAGGAAGTGCCGCCACCGCTTGAGTGCGTGGACGAAGGCGAGGAGCTCTTTTTTGCGTGCATCGTCAATGGAATGCACGAGTGGCACTTTCTTGCTGAAGTACTCGACCGCGTGCCAGTCCACACCATCATGTTGCTCTAGGACTGCACCAATGCTATAGCCTGACGCATCTGTAGTGACACGTGTAGGCGCGAGCGGGTCGTATATCCGCAAGACCTCCACAAACAATAGCGCGGCTTTGAGAGCGAGGAATGATCCCCGCGCCTCCTCTCCAAAGTCAAACGGCCGATCCTCCCACTGAAGCTTGTTCAAGTGGGCCGCGATCTTGGAGTAGCCTTTGATGAAGTGCTGATAGTAGCCGGTAAGACCGAGGAACGAGCGGACATCCGTGACGTTCCGAGGCTCCAGCCACTCTTGGACGGCCTGAATCTTATCCGATAGCGGACTGATGCCCTCCGGTGTAACAAAATGGCCCAAGTATTCCAGCTCTTGCCGGACAAATTCGCACTTGTCGCGGTTGGCCTTATACTTGGCACGACGGAGCGTCTCCAATACTCGTCGAAGATGTCCAAGATGATCCTCCAATGTCCGGCTGTAGACGAGAATATCGTCTAAGTAGACCAGCACGAACCTGTCCAACATTGCACGAAACTCATTGGTTATCGCCGCCTGGAATGTCGTCGGGGCGTTGGTGAGGCCAAACGGCATGACCACCCACTCAAAATGCCCGTACCGCGTCTTGAATATGGTTTTATAGCGATCATTTGGCTAAATCGAGATTTTATGGTATCCTGATTTCAAATCCAACTTGGAAAATACTTCGCACCGCCCAGCCGCTCGAGAAGATTGTCGGTGCGAGGAAGAGGTCCCGCATTCTTGACGGTTTGCGCGTTGAGCTTGCGGTAGTCGATGCACAATTGTAGATCCTTGTTCTTCTTCCTGACGAAGAGAACTGGTGCTCCATATGGGGAGCTACTCGGGCGGATCCAGCCCTTGGCCAACAAATCATCGAGTTGTGCGCGGAGTACCTCAAAGCTCTTCCTCGCTCATCCGATAGATGCAACCTTTCGGCGGCACGACACCGGCCTCAAGAATGATCTTGTGAGATATTGGCCGACCCGGCACCATACCGGTAGGTGACTCGAAGATGTCGGTGAACTCGTCCAGCAACCGTACCACACGGGGTTCCGAAGACAAGTCAGTGGGTGAAGATTCGGCTACCGCGACGGTCTGTAGGAAACACGTGTCGATCTCCTCGGGCTGCTCGTAAGCACAAGTCGCCCGGAATGATTTGGCCGTCACCACTTGGCACCGGATCGAAGAGTGCGGTAGAGGAATCGTACACGCCACTTCCGCGTCGAAGGCGTCGCGAACGCTAAGAGTCCGCCGATGGAAGTTGACCGTGTGATCCACACTTGCGAGCCAAGGCATTTCCAGAATGATGTCGAAGTCCGTGTCGAGAATATCGAATGTTACCGGTTCGCATGCATGAGGTGCGAAGTAGACTGGTACAGCCTCGATGTAACGGTCGAGACGTTGTTGCGTCTTACCATCCGCCAACTTGATCGCCGTCGGGTTTACCTTCCTCCGAACCTGAGCGCCAAGGCCAGTTCTTTGCATAAAAGACTGACTCATGAAGTTGCGAGTCGCGCCGCTATCCCGCAAAGCGCTTCAGGACGCTTGCCCAACCTGGATGCGGACATACATGAGCGATGCATTGTTGTTATCGTACCTCTGCGTGCGAAACTCGCTGTCCACCTTGGTAACGTACGCCAGGATGTCCCCCACCGCGACTTCGTCATCCGTCGGTGAAGTTGGTGGTGCATAGAAGGAAAGGTAAGTGTGGAGATGAGCGCTAAGTGCTGCGCATTGTGGTCCCGGCAAACAGCCTGTGATCGGGAGGGGAAGCCATGCAAAGTCCTCAGACGTGAGCGGGTCCAAAACCTCTATCTTGAACTCGCGCGCCGAATCCCGTGACGAACCACTTGAAGACGATATGTCGCTGTTGGCGGACGGAGAAGAAACCGCACACACTCCTTGTCCTTGAGCCTGAGTACCCAACGTTGGAACGAGCCGAGCAGCACAGTCCTCAAAAGAAAATAGAAGCGGAGAACTGTCGACTTCCGCGAGCGCCTCGGAATGAAGGCTGGTCACTCGCGAAGAAACCAGTTCCGAAGGCGTCAAGAGTGTCGTCGCATCACTCTCGGCGGTGCTCAGTTTCCCTGTCGACCCTTGCCCTTCAGTGGGCAAACCGGCGTCAGATGAAGATCGTTGTTGCTCCACAGGCAATAATGGAATCTCTCGCACGCCTTGTAGGCGGACTCGGAGAGGCCATACGGGGTCCATGGGCCTGTCTGAGCTGCTGCACCGGGCCCGGGGCTAGAAATGGTGTGTGTCTTCGGCTTGCCGTGCCCTCGGTCTCTGCCGGCGCGGCCACCTTCCCGGGCGGCTGCGAATCTGTCTCCTTCACTGGCAGATGCAGCCTCGCTGGTTTGGTCTAACGGCGTTGTCGCAACGACCACGGCCACTCGTGGCCGATGCTGGTTCCCGCTCGGGCCTGACGCAGAAGAACAGAGGTTCTTGGCCTCCTTGTTCGTAATGATGATCTGCGACGCCTTGTCGAATAGTTCCGCCGTCGTCGTCAAGGTGTCCTCGACATGCGTCAGGGCATTGCTCAATGTCGGACATGACCTTGAGATGAAGTAGTGGCGGATGGCCTTGAAACCCATCTGGATGTTTGGGACTGACGTCAAGCGTTGGTACTCGGCGATCCAGTCCGTACTCGGCAGCCAGCCTTGCTCGAAGACCATAAGCTTGTCCATGGCTTTGATCTCTGGCGGCTCCACCTGGAACCGCTTGTGCCACGCCGCCTTAAGATCATCCCAGCTGATCATGGTGTGCAAGTCTGCTGCTACCACTCCGTACTTGGACAACAAGTTGTCCAACCATGCCTAACACGCGCCCCTTGAGCGAGAGTACAAGTAAGCGTGGTGCTTGTTTTCCTTGACGCTGTGGAGTTACAGCGTGAGCTCGAAATTGCGAAACCATGGAATTGGATCTGTCTTGATTGAGTCGTGGAAGATCTCATCCCCATCGAACTTAGGAGCTGTCTCGCGCGGCTCCGGACTCGAGGTGGTGGCGGTAGTGCAGATCCGCTGCTGCAATTGTTGCGTCGCAGTCTGTTGTAACTGTGCGCCATCCTGGAGGGAGCCGACGTGCATTTCCAATGCGGTGAGGCGGTCGGCAGTATTGGAAGAGCCTGCGTCGGCAACGGCGACTGGTCGCTGCTCCACCCGCTGAAGGCGGTCTTGGAGGTTAGCTACCGACTTGTCGAGACCGAGGATCTCCKCCTGCTGTGTAAAGCAGGTTGCCAGGAGATCCGTRAGATGCGAGAGGAGGAGCGCTATCTTGTTTGCGCTGTCCTCCAACTGGCTGTTCTCGGCCTCRCTTCGCCATTCTGCTGCCATGGTACGTAACGCACGSTCTMCGGTGAATATCTTCTCACGACGCTGTGTTCTTTCTTCATCATCAGCCCTTGCTGCTGCCTCGTCGTGCTGGCGCTGTTGTTGCATGGCCAGCAGRCGTGCCTGTTCGGCATCCTCTGCCCTTTWYTTRGCTGYCGCGGCAGCGTCATCTGCCCGCTTCTTTGTCTCGGTACTCCAGGCTAACATGCGGGCCTGATAGGCCTCGTCTGTTTCCCCGGCCTTCTGGTCCATGACTGCTGTCTGTGAACGCAACAGCATAGACCAGACCGGTGCCTGCTGATGTGGTATCCCTTGCTGCTGACGTGGCAATGCTGACGTGTCCTGCTGACGTGGTCTGCTGACGTACTTATGTAGCCTGCARA